AACTTTACGTGTAAATAACATCAAATGGAGGTTTTAAGGTTAAAATCACACTATAATAGTAGATCTAGAGCTTTCATGCAAAATGGATCCATAAAGGTGCTAGATCTAAGCTCCTGGAAATCAAATCAAGCTAGATCTGAAGGTTAATCAACTCCATGAGTCCTCTATGCTACTACTAAGCTAAGAAATGGTTTAATAATGGCTTCACAAAGGAGATTTAAGTATAGAAACAGAAAAGGGCCAAGATATACCTTACTTTCTTCTAAAATTCCTCAAGGATCTAGAATCTCCTTTTTCTCTTCTTGATCTACCTTCCTTAATCTCTCAAAATCTTCAAAGAACACACCAAAATCACACAAAATGTAAAGAGGGCTCTAGGGTTCGAGTAAGATGCTTTGAGGGGTGATGGGGGCTGACTTGAGGCCCCCAAAAGTTGTTTATATAGTGTGCAAACCCTTGAAATTAGGGTTTCATCCAGACTGGCGGACTCGCCGAGTTGCCAACTTAAACGTGCTCGAAATCGCGTCCCTACTCGACGAGTCCAGCTACTGACTCGTCGAGTTCCCCTTAAAACTTGAAGAAATATAACAATAAATAACAATATAAATATCATACCAGAATTGGGGTGTTACACCGAACTATCCAGATAATAAAAACCAAGTCATTACACAACATAACAATCTTGACTAAGGGTCCACACCACTCATTAAGTCCATTCTCTTTATTGGGCCAAAGCCCAATACCAAGTCCTTAACTTGAAAGTCCATTTACAAAGCCCATTATTGGTCCAATTTACTAAATTAGACCCAACCTCCTAATTGGGCTTTATCCAATGATCTAATATCAAAACTTGGCACAAAACATTATATTCATAAATTCCAGCAAAGGCCCGAATCCAACTAGTCCATAAACAACCCAAAACCTGAAGCCCGAATGCCAAAGGCCGAATAGAGGATGTACGCGGGGCGTACTCCTTTGGTATGCTGGGCGTACGTGAGTCATTCTTAAAACTCCTGTAAGTGCTTAATGGCTTAAGCACCTAAGCCCAAATTTCAGATCCATCAACAAAATGTTTCATAGGACTATAAAGTCTCGAAGTTTACTACTTTGGATGTCCAGAAAGTTCTTAACACATGATCTTAATCCATTAAAACATTCTCACTTCATGCATGAGAAAAATCTAGCTATTGGGACACCATTTTTATCACTTAGGACCTCTTCTAAGGTCTGAAAAGACAACTCATTTTGTCCAAAACATAACATGCACCATTTTGGGACTTTTGGGACAAGAATGCTTCCATAAAGCTAAAATGAATAGATCTATCTCATACAAGTATAAAGTTCCAAGATTTTTACCTTCTGGAGCACCCAAAACAGATGAGGTGTAACATCCAGATACTCAGGTATATTATTTGATTAATTTATTTTGGAGTTTGTGGAGGGACTCGGCGAGTTGGTGCTTAGACTCGCCAATTAGGGTCACGAATTCTCATCCGGATCAATGACCGGACTCGACGAGTTCATGAGTGCACTCGGCAAGTCCGTGTTGTTTTATGAAGCCCTAATTTCCCAGGATTGGGACCTATTTAAAGGCCCTTAGGGCCGTCATTTGCAACTACCAAACCCCAAAGAGAAATCCTAAAAGAGCTAGACCGTTTGTGAGAAGAAAGGAGCCATTTATTGATCTTTGTGGTTGATTCTAGCAAGAAGGAGGTGATTCTAGCTTAGAGGAGACCAAGGAGGTTCTGCATCTGGGGATTTCTAGCAAAAGACTTCATCTTTGAGGTATTATATCGCCCCTTTATCTGTTTTGTTGAAGGAATCCATAGATGTAGAGTTTTTATGTCCTTTATTGGAAGGAATTGTGAGAATATGGCCTCTATTCATATTGAGACTTCAGATCTGGACCCATAGTGGTCTAAAGAGCTTATTCCAGCTTACTTAATGTTGAGCTATGGAGGTAATGAGCTTAGGGTGTTGTTTTTGGGGCTAAATTACCAAGTGAAACCTCCTAGACGTCACATGAGTGTCAAGATCCGAGCTTTGTGTGATTATCAGGCTTGGGAAGGTCAAATCTATGGATCAAAGGAACAGATCTGACCTCAGGAGGCCAATTGAGTTTATGCATGGCATGAACTCGCCGATTCCTAGGGCAGACTCGGCGAGTAGGGCTAGGGTTTCCCGTAAGTCACTTAGTGAGTAACTTGCCGAGTTGGGGGAAATGACTCAGTGAGTCAGAGGGGGGTTAGAGGACTAGAGTTCAAGGTGGAACTCGCTGAGTTGATCTTGAGACTCAGCGAGTTAAGTCGGGGTGGCCCCGCGATTCATGCCAGGTGTAGCTCGTCGAGCAAGGGGAAAGACTCGACGTGCCAAGCGAGACTAGAGAGATAGTAGACATGTGTAGACTCGCCGAGTTGCCCAAGTGCACTTGACGAGTCGGGTCAAAGTTTGACCGTTGACTTTTGTTGACTTTTAGGGTTTGGTTAATAATGGGGCCGTTGAGCCAAGAGAGGGGTAAAATGGTCTTTTACCCTTCTGAGGATGCCAAGAGAGAGTTGAGTCTAGTCAGAGATTTACCGAGATATCCGAGGTGAGCCTTCTCACTATACTTTACCTTGAGTGGTAGTTATGTGTGACCGGAAGGTCTTATGTGCTTACATTGAGTATTATGTAATCCTGTTGTATGTGACATGCTATGCATTATGTCTTTGTGATTTATGCTATGCGGAGTTAATAGACCGGACCGGAGGGTCCAACGATTCATGAGGCCGGAAGGCTCCAGTAGACCGGACCAGAGGGTCCAACGAGCTTAGGACCAGAGGGTCCACAGAGTTATGGGACTGGAGGGTCCCACTAAGATACATTGATCAGAGGGTCAAATAGAGTTATAGCCTCAAGTGGCTAATATGTGTTGTATGTGGTATTTTAGGGAACTCACTAAGCTTCGTGCTTACATTGTCTGTTGGATTAGTGTCTAAGTCCATAACTATTTTTGTATGTACTTGACCCGATGGTGCGTGGTCCTTTTGGGTTGCCTTCACCAAAGCAACTTGATAGGATGAATTATGGAGAGAAAGGATTAAATATGATTTATTAATATATTATTAAAAAAATTTATTAAAGGAGAAATCATATTGTTTAATTAATATTAGTCAATAATTAATTGGTAATTAGTTTTGTGACTAAAAGAGATTAATTAAACTTAAGGGACTAGAATTGTAATTATAAGATAATTGCAATTTAGGCCATGGATTGCCTTGAATCAAGGGGTGGACGAATTCTATGGGGAAGCCCAGAAGGAAATCGTCCAAGGGCTTGATTAAAAGGAGTCTATGGGTTGCTTAGGGCTTAAGCATCCAAATTAGGGTTTCCTTGTTAGATAACCCTAGTAGCCCAACTATATAAAGACCCCTTAAGGCTCAAAAACATGGCTAAGCTTATTGCTAGGGTTTCTACACGTTTTTGGTAGCCTCCAACCTCTCTCCTCTTCATCCTCTCTCCTATTAGTGTGTGTGTGTGTATATATATATATATATATATATATATACACTAATAAAAAAAGTAGTTATTTTGCCATGTGTCACTATATTAGACCTCTTAATTAATATAATGTCACTTGTCAATCTATTAGTTCTCCATTTTAAATTTATTATACCTCCTAATTAATGTGATTTTATTTGTTAATGTATTTATTCTCCATTTTAAATTTAAATATTAAATTTTATATTATTGTTTTCATTAATTCACAAATAAAAAATATCTAATTTATTTAAAATAATTAATTAATAATTTTGATATTTTACTATAAAAGTTTAATTAATTTTATAAAAGTAGTTTCCACGGGTTATAAACTAGTGTGTGTGTGTGTGTTTATATATATATATATATATATATATATATATATATATATATATATGTGTGTGTGTGTGTGTGTGTGTGTGTGTGTGTGAAAAGTGAATATACCTTTAAAGACATATAAGCTTAGGTACTCAAACCCACCATAATATGTCGATTTGTTTGATATATTCATTATAACGTTCTTAAACTTCAACTCCTAACGTGATTTATTTTCAAGATTTTCGAAATTTTACTATTATTTTCCTCTTACATCAAATATTTTTTCTGAACACCTACTAGGCTATATATATTATAGTTGAAAATGAAAATTATATAAGAGGAAGAGAATTATGAAATTTATGAAAATATTGGAAGTAAATCAAGTTAGAAGTTAAATTATAAGAACATTGGATGCTTACAATGTATATATCAGCACCTTGATATGCTATGTGAGGTACCGGTCGAAAAGACTGAAGGGGTAGGCCAGCACCCTGACATGCTAGGCAAGTTACCGGTTGCAAAGGACCGAAGGGTAGGTCAGCACCCTGGTATGCTAGACAGTTACAGGTTGAAAGAGACCGAAGGGGTAGTTCAGTACCCAGATATGTTAGACAGTATGATTATTGTATGGTATGTGGTATGATGAGGGAAATCACTAAGCTTTGTGCTTACAGTTTCAGTTTTTGTTTCAGGTCCTTCTTCTTCGAAGGGAAAGGAGCTAGCATGATAGCAACGCATCGCACACACAAAATTTTGCATTATGGCGTTCTTGGGATTTTGTATTCTGACATAAACATTATTAGATTATGACATGCTCTGAGACGTATGACTTATGAGTTTTTATGATATGAGATAACTTCATTATGTTTTTAATAATCTGTTTTATGAATTATTAAATTAAAAATAAAGTTTTTGGTATTGAAATTTGGGATGTTACAATTGATGTGAATGAGGCTTGGTTTGTTAGATGATATATAATATATTTTTGAGCTCATTTTGGTAGATGATATATAATATAATTTTCTTTTGAACTCATTTTGCAAATATAGGATCATGAAGATAATTTTATTGATGATACACCACCGGTAGTTAGTAATATTGATGGATCCGAAAAAGAAGATGTGCCAAAAGCAAGTCCTAAGAAACAAAAAAGGAAATGAGGCATGCCAAAAAAACCAATTACTAGCAAACGAGAAAGAGCAAGGAATAATGGTAAAGGAATCGCTCCTTGTTGGGTAGCATTCGAGCCGATGTGGATTATAGAGGATGATGGTGTTGAAAGAAAAAGTGTGGAATGTATTCATTGTAAAACAATACTTAAAGCCGATACGGACCGAAACGGGACATCTAATATGAAAAAACATTGGAGGAATTGCAAGTTAAACCCATACAACAAAGAAAAGCATGATAAAAAGCAAGCCAAATTGAATTTTAAGAAGGAGCCAAATGGTGAGACTAGTTTACAAACATGGAAACATGATGACGCTAGGATCAAACGTATATTACTAGGCCTTTTTACCGTTGGTGAAATACCATTCAAGTATGTTGAAAATGAAGCATTTTTTGAATATACTAACGCGCTTAACGGTAGGGTGATCTTTCCTTCTAGACATAAAATTTACCGAGACGTAGGCAGGTTTTACTTAGATGAGAGGAGTAAATTGCTCAAGTATTTTAATAATGAAAACACCGCTATACACTTAACAACTGACACTTGGACAACCTCTTGTAAAAAGGTCAATTACATGGTTGTCACGACCCATTTTATTGATGACAAGTGGGTCATGCACAAGAGAGTCATCAATTTTAGGTAGATAGATACACATAAAGGTGAGGAAATTAGACGAGAGTTACTAGCATGCATAAATGGGTAGGGTATGAAAAATGTTATGTCAATGACCGTCAATAATGCCACATGTAACGACACAACAATTAAATTTTTGGTTAAAATGTTTCCCACAATTTATGATGGTGGAAAACATTTCCACATACGGTGTATTACTCACATCCTAAACCTTATCATAAAGGTTGGGTTAAAATACCATAATTATCATGTGGAATGTGTACAAAAGGCGGTGAAGTATATTAGAGGTTCAACATAAAGGATTAAGAGGTTTAAAAAAACAATCAAAGATGTGGGGTTGGAAACAAAGAAATTTTTGTGTAGCGACTCTCCAACCTGATGGAACTCGAAATTCGAGTTGTTGAAAACCGCCTACAAGTTATGGGAAGCTTTTGTGGAATTTGGCATCAAAGGTATTAATTTACTTTTTTTTTGTTTCAACACATTTTATTATTGTGTCCCGATTTTTAAAATAGCATAACTCACTCATATGAAGTCGGAAATCACTTGATCTTTTTCCAAGATGTAGCTTACTGTTTATACTTTAGTTTAGACTTTTAAAAATCATATTTTGGTTAAATATTGAATTAGATACAAGCCTTGAATGATATCATATCAAGGTAACATTTTTTCTGTTTCATCACATTTTATTATTGTGTCACGGTTTTTAAAATAGCATAACTCACATATATGAAGTTGGAATCACTTGATATTTTTTATATGTATCTTACTCTTTATACTTTAGTTTAGACTTTTAAAAATCATATTTTGGTTAAATATTGAATTAGATACAAACCTTGAAAAACAACATATCACTGCAACATTTTTTCCATTTATTTATATATGCAGGTTTGGTTTTTGTTTTTGAATTTTGATAGAAAAATCGTATGAGAATGATGTACAAAGAGTACCGGATCGTTTGGACTTTAAGGCGATAAAAGAGATGGTGGATTTATTTGAAAATTTTAAGACAAAAACGGAGAATATTTTGGCTTCAACAAAACCTTTAGTCCATCGATTAATCTAGGAAATCTTAGATGTGAACCTACATCTTAAAAACTGGTCAACCAATGTCAACTTTGTTCATTTGATACCCGACAATAAAGACAAATATGACAAATATTAGGGTGACTATTGTAACATCCAAAAATTTCAACCAATTTAAACTTTTCAAAAACAACCCAATTTCATTAAGTTATTACAAAAAGGTTTTCAATACGTCTATTATCAGAGTATTTCCCAGAACCGCATCATAAACACATAAAACGTGAGGAGCGGTACGATCACGCCTTTGCCTTGCTACGGTCTCTTGAAGTACCTGAAACATTAAACCACAACTGTAAGCCCGAAAGCTTAGTGAGATACCCCCAAAATACCAACCACATATACCATACACATATCATATCATAACATAACAGAACAGCCATGCACTTCGGGTCTATTGTGTGACTGGTCCGCCGCACCGGGCCTTCAGTCCACCTGGTCCACCCTCCGAGTCTAGCCATATCCATCGAGTCTGCAGTGTGGTTGGTCCGCCCGCACCGGGCCTTCAACCCACCTAGTCCACTCTCTGAGTCTATAGTATGACTGGTCCGCCCGCACCAGGCCTTCAGTTGGCCTGGTCCACTCTCCGAGCCTCGACACGTACGGTTTGCCCTCGTGGGGCCTACAGCCTATCCGGACTGCCCGCTGGGCCTTCAGAATATCCGGTTTGCCCTGGGTATGTTGGCCTACAACACAAAGCAGGACCCGCCTCAACCCAACCCCAGTCAACCAACCATGTGCACATAAACATATAACCATATAACAATTAATCACCAATCAACCAATCTAGCAGATCACATACATAGCATACTCTAACCAGGATACCGACCTAACCGACCACTAATATAACATCATCCTATATACCAGGATTCCGAACTTAACCAGGTCTCTAACAAATACCATCTTAACTACCAGGATGCAAGCATATAGCAAAGCAATAACATAGCAAATAACAACTACCCGGATTTCCATCCGATAAAGGGCTGGCCTTGGTGCCTTAGACCATGTCGATATAGTGAGGATAACTCACTTCGCAACTGCTGAATGAAAAGATAAGATCACGCTGCCCCCACCTCCGATACGAACTCCAGCACTGATCAATACCAAAAGACTGAACTCAATAAATACCAATAATTACCAAATTACCCCTGGAAGTCAACTGGTCAACTCTTGGTCAATGTCAAAGTTCTCAGTCAATGTCAAACTTCCTGACTGACTCTACTCGCCGAGTCAGCCCGCTGAGTCGTCGAGTCCCTATGCTCTGAAAACTCCCATATCGCGACCCAACTCGCCGAGTCGCCCCAAGACTCGCTGAGTCCCACGAACTCTGAGTCCTTTCATGCTCAACTCACCGAGTCATCCTTCGACTCACCGATTTACGACTTAACCAGAAAAGGTTAGGATTCCTCGACCAGACTCACCGAGTCCAAGAATAAACTCGCCGCGTCCAAGGCAACATTCAACAGACTCGCCTAGTTGTTCTTCCAACTCGTCGAGTTCCTGCCTATCTTCATCCAACTCGCCGAGTCTATCCATGTGACTAATCGAGTATCTCAAGCTCTTAACCCATGCCGTGGCTTTTTAATCCATCATGGGGCTCCAATCCATAGATCTACCCTTCTACAAGCTATTCCTCACATAAAGTTGCAAACTTTACGTGATATCAAGAAGATATAAACTCAAAACACACTAAGGCTTGGGTTTTAGACAAAAGGGGCTTCACCAATCATCCAAGGACTGAAAATTTATGAACTTAGGACTCAAAAGAGGTTCAGATCTGAAGTTTCAGCTTCAGATCTAGCTTCTATAACAATTCCCTTAACCAAGGAAAACCCTAGCCTCCACATATGAATGATTCTAGAAGAAAAGGTCAAGGTAACAACTTAATACCTCACAAATGTGTCCCAAAATAGAGTGGATTCTAGATCCACACGAAATCCTTGATGGTTGCGTCTTGCTCTTCAAGTCTCCTCCACCAAATTCACTTCTTAAGTCTCCAAACACTCTCCAAGCTCTCACTCACGGCTATTAGGGTTTCTGGGACTCAAAGGGAATGTAAAGAGGCTGAAGATAGGGTATTATGTTCTTTATATATAGCACAAACTCCGGATTAGGGTTTTTCTCATTCCAGCACCAACTCGCCGAGTCCAGCCTCCGACTCACCGAGTTGGTCACTTAACGTGTGACCAGAATCGAGACTCGACTCACCGAGTCTATCCATCGACTCGCCGAGTCGACCTTCCTTATTTACACTAAGAACCCTGAACTTGCACTTCTGAACTCGAGGTGTTACAACTATGCAAAGATGAGTGATTATGTTTACTTTGCAATCTTGCTAGATCCTACAATAAAGTCTTAATTATTGTTGTATACTTTTAAAGAAATGATTGGTTCCAAGGATGAAACGTTATCAAAGTCGGAGATAGAATTGAAAGCATATGAAATGCTTTATGAGGTCGAGAAGAAGATTGAGAAATTTTTTAAGACCTACTTGGAAAAGTACGACATGGGCGGGTCTTCTCAACAACAAAGTTCTCAACAAGTCGTTGATTGTGATGATGATAACGACTTTTTTGGCAACTTCCTTAATAATGGAGGTGACAACTTGGACGCGATGGAAAATGAATTAATTATATATTTGAAAGACCCCGAGTTACGTACAACAAAAATTTTGATATCCTAAGTTGATGGTAACTTAACTGGTTAAGATTCCCGATAGTTGCTTGAATGACAAAAGGTATTGATTTTTTTTTTTTTTAATATTTCATATTTCATTTAATAATTAATGATGTTACAGTTAACAATAATTTATTTTTAAGCGATATTTTGGGGATACAAATCTCAACTGTAGCATCGGAGTCGGCCTTTAGCACAAGTCGTAGAGTTTTAACCGACTATCATGCTAATTTGTCGAACGTGATAGTTGAAGCTTTGTTGTGTACCCAAGATTAATTTAGAAAGAGTAGAAAAGCTATAATAGACAACGTGGATGACATTTTAATTTTTAAATAACAATGAAGTAGCTATGAGTATTTTGTACTTTCAATTATTGTCATATTTTTATTGACCTTTACATTTTAGTAAATGCTAACAACATTTTTGTTTTGTGTTTTATATAGAGATTGAAGAAACTTTATACAATGACAAAACAATGAGAAAGAGACCAATGGAAAAATAGATGGATAGCTAGAAAGAATTGTTTTGGTTTAAACTTGATTGATTGAATTGTATTAAATTTGATATGTGGGATCAGTTTGTTTTTGAGTAAATTACACGAATGGTCCTTATGGTTTAGGGTAATTTGCGTGTTTGGTCTCTAACTTATTATTATTATTATTTTAATTCGGAAGGTCCATACTGTTTGGTTTTATTACGCGTTTGGTCTCTGTCTTACCTAAAAAAACTATTTTGCCATTGATTTTTTAATTTATTTAAATAAGGGTAAATTACACGAATAGTCCCTATGGTTTGGGGTAATCTGCGTAGTTGGTCCCTAAGAAGAATTTTTAACTCGGATGGTCCCTATTATTTGATTTTGTTGTGTCTTTAGTCCCTACCACTCTTAAAAAGACTTTTCTGCCCTTACTGTTATTTTTTATATTTTAAATTCATTTTAATAATTATTTCTTATTTTCACTAGTTATATTATTATTATTATTGAAAAGCATAATCAGATTACTTCCTCCTCCAATCCAACCCACCCCCTCACTCCTCCTCCCGTTCACTGGTAACCCTCCACCTAACCATCATCAACCTGTTTGTCTTCTTCAACAAGATTGTCATAGAACCTCCACTCAAAATAAATGTCAAAGAAATTAGGAAAAGAAACCGACAGATCTAAAGGAAATTTGGAAATCAAACTCGAAGAAAATTATTGGAGAAATCAGACCAGGGAAAACCTTATAGAAACCAGATTGCCGGAGAAGG